TTGATAGCAAATGGTTAAAGTAGCTGACTTGATCATTAGAAAACAAAAGTTCAAGGCAGTCTTGTACTAACTGTTTGATTATATATACACCAAACATACCTTGTCTCATGCATACTTCCATGTTTAGGTATAGTGAGAGTAATAAGTAATGGTAGTGCATCTTGTTATACAATTATTATAATCAGCTCAATCATCAAAGTTCACTAGGCTCACCCTGGGTTCCACCAACACTTGACATTTACTATGGAGTGATATGAAGGCAAGACTACTTTTAGCATCATTTTTAGTCTTGATCTTTGACATCTGAGAGTCACAGACACTTGTACATAATCAATACTAGCAGGCTGGAATATCCTCCTGGTCAATGTCCATATCTGTCATCCTATAAGTGCATTCCTGTCGTCACAGGCAGTTATAATGAAGCAGACATAAAACTTCTGTGATGGGATTCAAACCACAGACTATCTGATCCACAGGTTGGGGCTTGATACAACCCAAGAGCTTGACTCCCTCAGCAAGGTGACAAAATAAGGACTTTATCTATGGGATGACTCCACACCCAGCTACAATATCAACACATAGGGGCTGTATACCTCCTCAACAACCATTTAATATACTCCCAAAGTGCCTCATATTTCCCACTCCGTTGATGATGCTCGCCTAACACCAGATGACAGATCAGAGCTCCACTACTTACAGAACCAGCAGGTGATGTGAAGCAAACCATAGGAAAATTCAATTTTCAATGGGCAGACGACTAACTACATTAGGTATATGAACCGGCCATAATGTTAGCCAGTCCTGCTGGTGGTAAACTGATAATGTGTGTTGGCATATCATATGGTGCTGCTTACAGAATTGTGTGTCAGCATCCGACATCCTAGAATGAATACATGCATGAGATATGAGATGAGACCGTGCTGAGTGGCAATACAAGAACATATCACATTGTCATGAGAGTCCAACATACAAATTGCCCAATATTATGCATGTTAAAGTGCTGTTTCAAATTCTGAACAGAACAAAGTGTAGTAGTAGGTGTCCATAAGTCCCAAATCCACAAGCATGCATAACAGTCTGCATCTTCAGCCATCGTGTGAAGCCTGAGTTGGGTCAGGTGATGTTCGATCATATGGGCTCAGCTTATAATAGTTCATATAACAGAACCAAAATTGATTCAAATGGTGCATTTGGGCACAAACCTAAATAAATATAAACCTAACAAATCGATGAAAAAAGCTCATGAACAACAATTATAAACATAAAGAATAATATCAACAGAGGTCAAGGACAGAGTATGGAATCAGATGCAAATTTTTATTTTTAACCCCAAGCTAAAATTCATCTTCTGGTGAGAGGAAGAAAATATGATTAACTGCCTACTCCTTTGTGGCCATAACAACATTATGTGTTTGACATTTACCTTGTTTGGTGTGTACTGTATGTGACTAATCCATTCTACTGTCACTATAACACAGTTATCCTCAACACATGTTAATTCCCTAACACATGACTCAACAACTCCATGCCCAGTTAACAAGCTCTGAGCATAAAAGACATGTCAGTAATATTCAGTTCACTGAATGGGACAAATATCTGTTATTTCTATATTGAATATACCAGTTTATACATTCTGAGCAACAACCAAAACTAGCCAATAACCCAAAGCATGCTCCAAAATACATTATAATTATTGAACCATAAAAGTTCTCTTCACTCATTCTGTTCAGTGAATAAAACCACCAACATATGTCTAGACCATTATTTGAATCCAATCAAGGTCGACCTAGGGATATCGATGTCCTGCCAGCAGGACCTACGGCAGGTGTTCCAGCTCCTCCACCAGGGGCATCATGCATGGTTTGAGGCTCAGGTGGCAGTAGTTGTATTTCCAGCTACATCATTTATGGAAGGTGGTGATTACTCTACCATTCTAAATAAACCCCCTGACTCATCCCTGAATCACTTAACACGCCTCAGGTACGTGCAACAGAAGTTCAGCTCTACACTGGCTCATTACCATAACCTTGACCAAAATACAACCAAACAGAAAAACATTCCTGTTTTCAAACTCAGTGTCGAATTCACACTAGAGTACTGCCATCACATACATTTCAGATTTCAAACTGGGCGTTTCATTCATACTGATGTACAGGAGGGATGTGTGTTCCTGCCAATACTCTCAACCTCTGATTATTGGACAAGTTAAGGTGATCTATCCTGGCATGTTTCTGAGCTGAATTCACAATGCGTTATTTTCGTAGTTGATCTTTTCTAAACATAGCAGCCAAATCGTGCACAGAAAAGCAACTCTTACACACTGAAGCCAACTATTTTTAACTGTACCCACATCAAATGGTTAACACAGTAATTAACTCAACAACGCCGGCAAGGTAAATGTCAGCGATATATAAGTAGCCAGTTTTAATTAACTGGTGTTTGTTGTGAATAATGATGACCTCTTCTCCTGCTGCATGAAGAGCTGGTTCATTAATTGGGTCATATATTGCTGGCTTCCATTCCCAGCATTCCTGCCATATCAGCAGAACTTCAATTATCACGTTTCCTAATAACAATCAAGATACATCTAACTGAACCCAACCGCAATAAATGAACATAATAAACAGCTTCATTATCAACATGCCACACAAGTCGATACAAGTATCTCTACTTTCACTCAGAAACTAATCAATCAAACCTCAAACACGTTTAAAACAAGCTGACTACATGCTTTGAAATAAAAAAATCATCCAAGTCATGAAGGTCCCCTTGCAATAAGTCAGCTGTCATTAATCAAAGATTTGGGAGGTATTTAGATCATTAAGATTCTCAGCAGCAATCTCTAGAGTACCAGACCATTGCTAATTTTTATCACACTGTGGTTTGGTGGTACAAGTGATCTTTACTACCGTCAATATATCTGCCTATATTTTCAGAGCAGTTGCATTCTGAACCCCAAAAATCATTTTCGTCTCATAGTCTCAGCCATAATTTTCCAAGAGCAGGATCTTCTGAACATTATGCCAAATGACATATCTCACTGCAGACTTTACATGTTAGCTGTTAAGACTCGCAATAAAATCACATAACTACCATCACAAGGCCATATGATCAAATTTTGGAGCTGTGTTTTGCCTACTTTGATCACAATATACTCCAACACTATCATCTGCAATACCACTGGCATTTCTATAATTGTTGACGTGAACTAGGCGTGTGCTTGGCTGGAAGCCACAGAGAATGAGCAACACTAATAGATTCCTTGTGTTCTGCACACAGCACTAAAAAGCAGCATATAACAAAGTGAATATTGTTCAATGGATGAAACAGCAGTGATGCCTAACATACTGGTGGAGGGATTTGACTGAGACGTGACACTGGACCACAAAGGATAACTTATCTTCCGCAAGAAAGCCTAAAAGTATTTCAAATCAGATTCAAGTCATTTCACCATTGTAAATCGAATCATCATAAGGTCCTGACTGTACAAGACAATGTCAAAATTGAACAGTTCTTGTTAAGTCTTATACACTTTTAAGCATATAACCTATCTTTAGCCTCAATGGGAATTCAGTTAAAACTGCAAGTTTCTTTACTGCAGTGTAACTTAGCATTACATGACAAACGTGGACAGCTGTTGAAATATATAAGAATCTACACATACAAGTACCTACATAAATCTGACGAACATAAAAACAATGTGAGATAACCTTATTTACTATCATGCGTGCACATGCCTATGAAAAGTTACTGCTAAGTCCCACAATAAAAAATATAGATACATATCTTCGGAACTTCTATTCACCTTGACCAACAATGCCCACAATATTTTTAAAGATATTGATCATATGTGACCTTTGTCACTAGTTCTTAGCCCTAGTAATCACAGCTAAACATAATCCATGTAACAACACTAAAATCCCCCAAATATGCTGCCAAGCAGTGCGTTGGGGCAAGTCAACTCAAACTGTAGTAAATGCTGAGGTTGTCAAATGGGAATAATTACACCAACATGTCTGTGAAATGACCATATTTTAGCAACAAGAAAAAGGTGTCCAATTATCATCTTTAAAAATATAATAAAAAGGCGCCAAAGGACTTCTCTTCAATTCCAAAAACTGCAGTAATCTATACTTGAAAGGGCTGTATTGGATATACTTGTTTCAAGGTCTGAATGACGGCCTAGAGAAACACTATTAAGAGGACATCGCATCTACATGACGTCAGCAAACACATCATGTATGTCACGTGACAAATTGCCAGTGAGTTGAAGCCACAAAATAAATAAATAGCTCCGATAACAAAATGCTGAGAATCATCACAGGATCATACCATCAGAATTTGGTGTTAATGAAGCGATGACGATATATGACCAGAGTATGGCTGCAAGCATTGCAGGCTCGAAGTATTTCCACGAAGTACACAGCATAGAGATGGTTAGCAAGCTTGGCACAACACTTGACCATGTCAGGCAGAATGGCATGCCAAATCCCCTGGTTACTCAACTAGTGTGGACAAATGGACACATGCTGGTCTACCATTCTGAAGGCACCCTCATGGAGACCTTTTCATCTGCAGGTGACCAATTCCACACTGGCAGCACAAGCACTATCATACTTACTGGATATAAAGCACCCTGGAATATTGCATTCAACACAAACCACACAGAATTCCTTTAATACTCCACAAGTTTTCTAAATCCAAACACCAAAAAAGTTGCAATGTCAAAGCAGATCCAGTGGGACATATCACATAATTGCAGTCATAGGTGTACAGAAAAACGTATGAACCATCACAATGCAGTGACTGATTAGGTATGTTTTAAAGCTGGTCTCAGGAATGTTCCAGCCATATCGCAGCTAGTGACAGCAGCAAATATTGCTTCATAAATATCTAGCATAAGAAGGAACCGTTTACAAGCCAGGCTTGTATCAAAACGGAACTTTTTTTCCCAGAATCAAAAATATGTAAAAAAGAACAGATGGAATAAAAAGACTTACCTCTAGGGTCCACATTCTTCATCCATGCTTGTGCAGATGGCTGTTCCCCTGCAATGAACACAAGCTTGTTGTCAATGCCTCTACAACACTTCATGTGATGATAGTTCAACTTCATTAAACAGTTCACTAACTTCTTCTGACATAACATCAATCAATACAAATCAACTTAGCCATTTTAAAGTCATAAATTATACATCCTTGGATGTTGAAGAATGTTTGGCTAATTATCTGATTACAGACCCTATTGTAATTAATATATATATACAGAAAAGGATTTTAAGCAAAACTCCGGTAACTTGAATCAATTCCTGACCAACCAAACCAGTGGAAGAAAGCAAATACAAGTGCCAGCGTCAGGGTACTATGACATACAGAGCCAGGTCACCCCGCAAACGACCCCACCACCATTCTTTCAACCTGTTTCAAGCATGGGCTGTTCAGCACCAGTACTACAATCCAAGTATCAATCAGTCTAAAATTTGAAAACCTGACTCGTTTGACAACCCTTGTTGGGCACTCCAGATTAACTATGTTTATTGCAGCAATATCCGACATGGAAATAATTAAGTCTGGACCAGACAAACCAGTGATTTATATGATCTGAAACATCCTATACCACCTGGGTGAGATGCTTGCAATCAACCAAGTCCCTGTCTAACCAACTAATCCAAAGAACTTATCGTTTACAAGAAGAAATCATGTGCTGGGAACCTTGACTGACCAAGGCACCAACAGGACACTGAGAAGTCTAATTATGATGTAAATCCTACACACTAAAAATCATTGTAACTTAAAATCAATCCATCATCTGGAAATTACTGAGAAAATGGCAAAGAATCTCGAAACTAAGAGCCATAAGGGGTTATCATTGCTATATCTAACCTTTCCTAGTTAGTAATCTCATATTTGTCAATTAAAATTCTGATAACCTCATTTGTCACTAGGCAACAATTATATATGACAACATGTGTCAAATGGTCTTTGAGTTGACTGAGTAACCTTCAAAAGGTTTCAATTCTTAATTCAAATCAATGTTCAAGCCGACACACTGGCTCTGCATGGTTTTCCCTCAACATTTTCTGTAAACTACTGTCATGTTTTCAAGTCAGCTTGCAATACACCATGAAACTAACTGAATCACAACAAGCGTACAAATCGTGAAGTCCATCCAAAAATCAACAACAAGTCAAGTTGTACTTATGAATAATGATGGCCAAATTTAGGGCGACAACAAATTGTCGGTCTAAATGATTTCCATTTGTCTCAGTTGGTATTCAACTAGAAAACCAATCCTGCATTTCCCTCATCTTGTGAGTGGTGTGTTTTGACAAAATGAGCTTCTCATAAGTTTAAAAGTTTCAGTAAACAATTAACAGTCTTCATTGTAAATATTTCTTCTGTGAAAATGGACCACATCACCAAATCACTATCATATTTTAAAGGTCAATAACAAATACAAAATTATTGCCTCAAAATACCTTTCTTGTTGTGTTAGTTTGTTTTGCTGTTTAAAAACATAATATATATCAACTATGATTTGAGTGTTGCTTTTCTTTTTGAATAAGTCAACATTCACATAAACGAGTACATGTTGGTGTATCATCACAAACATTTACACGAATCAACAAATTTTAGATGGTTATATCATCTGATTGTGATAAAATTTCAGTTCTACCAATCTGTCAATAACATACATTCATGATATTTTTAAAAAGAGTTTTTTTACCTGAATTTGGGTGTTATCTACCAAAAAGAAAAATGCAAAAAAAGAATTTTCAAGCCAGACAGGATAATAGTCAAAACATGTCAAATACTGTATTTTGTAATTGTTTCACTGAATATAATGAATAATACATCCACTGCTGATCTGTTATTGTATTCATAACCAGGGCTACAGATAATGACCGTATTGGCGTATGTACGGATAAAAAATATACACGATACGACAGGAAATAATTTAGAAAACGTAGCAGATACGCACCACAGCAATGGTGTACGGTCTTAGAATCATTTACAGACATATTTATCTGAAAAAGTATTGTTTAATTGTTTATTGACCGTTTATACCAGAGTAGCAATGCTGTCATGCATATATGAAATGAAGCACAAGTTTAATGATACACCATTAAAATCCATTCAGTACTCTAAATGTACTCTTATTGTTTTCCAGTACTCATGTATTGAAAAAATAAGGAGTACGTGCTCCCGATGTTGAAAAATTATCTGGAGCCCTGCATAACCATATTTGTATTTCAATATTTGTGTATCTTATTCGGCTCACAGCCGATCATTGCAGCCCTAGTATTTAGTTCAGGTGTTGGGACATTGGACTTACCATTTAGCAAGTCACTCTGTGTCCTTATGAATCAGCAACTTTCAGATTTTTTACCTCTTAACGGATAAACAAATTCACCTTGGCAAAAAAAAAACCTAGCCTTAATCTCCTCAATTTCAGTGTGTCACATAATGCACTTGGGCAAGTGATTACTTGAGACATAGCAAAAACAAGCCCCGTTAGTAGTCAAGTAAAATTACCATACAGTCATAGTACTTTTCCACAATGAACATTTCTTAAAATATCTAAAATCTTGTAGTATAGCATAAAACTGTAACCTGGATCGAAACTTCCATCCATAACCAAGATACTGGACAAGTATGACAGATCAATTGATCATACCAAATAAGCTCCCCCTGACAAACTTCTAGACTAATCTTATCGCTAACCTTTATCAGTACTGCTGGTTACGACTAAGCATAAACATTACAGTCTGTATGCTATTTTGTCCACTACTGTTCGGTTTCAGACAACAAATCTAACTTGCTGTTTATGGTTTTAATAAGCATCCCCATCTTCTAAATGACAAAAGCATTAAACGATGAATGTGGAAAATATGTATTCCCTTTACTGTGGATATTCTTACACTGTCACATGTACCTTCTAACCATACTTACTGTCAGGTCTCTAACAATACTTATTGTCTAGTTTCTAACAATCCTTATTGTCTGGTAACTATGATAACAGTAGGAAACAATCAGTAACAGTTCAGACTGATACTCTCAATAGAGAAATGGAAGACTGAGTGAATGGCATTTCAGACCTTTTCTTTCATTACATCATTCTTCAGCCACACAACTTATAATCAATGTCTACAAGATAAATGCTTTTATGAATAAAACTATGATGAGTCAGCTGCTGCTCTTTCTTTCAAATGTCACTTCAAAATTGCATGTCTGCCTTTATTAACAAATCACAGCACGAATAACTTAAAGAATATGTGTTCATTCGTGTAGACACAACTGGGGGTGACATGTGGAACATCGGATTCTGAGCCTCTGGGAGAAGTGTGGGACAGTGAACCAACATCTGAAGGTAGCATTATATTATACAAGACAGAAACCACCACAAGGGAAGGGAGTTTAGAAGGGGACAACGACAGATCACCTTCACACCAATCACCACAACAGTGTCAGTTGAAGAAAGTACATCTAATACAAGATACCATTTAAACATTATATTCATGCATCTTATTACAATTCCAGCTTGCAGATTGAAATACACAAAATTGTTAATACAAAAGACGTGAAAGTGATATTCACCATGTGTTAAAAGAGGGAATAATTATTTCACACAGCATAACAACATGAAACAGTATTATCAAACATCTGAATGCCATGACACAAGGTCTCGTCACTCAGAACCTGTAGCATTTTAGTAAAAACCTGGAGCATACTGAACATTGCTGAGAACATACAACACAATGTAAGTTTGAAGAGTAAGCCAGATTAAGCATCCTACAATTACACCTGTGCATATATATTTAACACATTATCACTAATCATCTTGTAAATGGATAAACAAAACCAATGTACTTCAAAACGGTTAAAAAGTCTAAAACATCACCCATGTGATCGAAAAAACTGTGTGCATGGATTTATGAAAATATGTACACATGATAGACCTATATTTGTCTGTGTGAGTTGTAACCCATAAATCAAATCAGCATTTATCAATTGTTCCAAAGCCATATTTCAGATCTGCACTGATTTGTTTCAGGTGTCAGTTTTATTGAGAGCCAAGTAAAAATCTATTTCAAACCACATGTCAGCTTAAATGGATCATAAATTTGGAATGTGTAGTTATGAGGCAGATAAAATATACAAGTAACTATACTCTCAAAACACAATTAGATGCCATGGTTAGACAGACAGGTGCACCCTGTGAACAAATTTAAAAGGTCCATATCAAGATCTGATGAATTGCTCTGGGCACCTTTTGGATTAATCCGATTATATTTTAGTTTCATGTAGACAATAATTTCAAATACAGTAACTTGAATATTTCTGGGACTAAATGGCAATCTATTGTCTTTGTTTTGGCTGAGGATAACACAGTAAATCATAATCTTTTGAAAGAATATTAAAGCAAGTATTAGATACAAATTACGATACCTGTGAAACTTTATCTCCCCTCATTATAAGTGATTTGAATTTATGATGAAGATGTGCATCATTTATATCACATTATCAGTATTACCAGGTTAATTATGCGGTCTTAATAATATTGAATGAACATAATGAAAACCGATAAGATAAGCTTCAATTGTGCAGTGTTTATCACTATAAGATTGAAATTTATAGGTACTTTCCAATTCATTGCATCATTAGATTTTGAATGAAAGGACCCCATAAAAATTCAAATTTAATATTTCACCTTAAGACAAGGCACCCTCAGCTTTTATGCTTTACTCCAAGCACAGATTTTTGAATGTTTGATTAACTTTGCATTAAATACCTTTAATCTCTAAAAACATTCCTTTTCGAGTCACCAGCCCTTTCTGGAATCTCTCACAATCCCCGCTCTGCATTATTTTCCCTTCCACCCTGCCTCTTCTGGAGTACTAAAGTTCTACATGAAGCAAGTCTAGATTTCCTCAGGTTCAGGGTTCTGAATCACCCATCCCATTGGTGCTCCTTTTCAATTTCAAAGTAAATTAGTTGTTTCTGTCAAAACTGCATATATTCAGAGACATTAATCTACCCTATATGATGTTTAGCATCATACATTATTGAAGATCTAAACAAAAGCTTGAATCAAGGACAAGACTTTCAAATTTCACAACAGTTGTCACAAAGGTATGATCATGACAGGAATGAATCACCAGGAGAATGGGGACCTGCTCTTAATCATGTTAAAGGGAATCCCACTGGGTACAAAAACTTCTACAAAATGATCAGTAGCACTGCCTTGAACCTAGTATCATGTGCTGAAGGCTTTTGTCATAAACCCCTAATTAACAATTGACATGTAATTTTAGTATTTTTAACAGCAAAACAACATTGATACATCAGACTTTCTACAGAAATACATCTATTGTGTTTCTATACCAGTATTTCCGAATCTGTAAGCAAAACAAATAATTGATTAAAAGATCAAACACTTCATGCACATTCTAATATAGAATTAATAATAAATTAAAATTGCTTTTTGAGAGCCCTGAAAGTTCTAAAAGGTTCATACCTTTCTAAAATGGCCACGAGAAACCCTCAATGAGAATTTACAATGGAATGTTCTGGTATTGCACAAATTGTCTGAAAACTTTCAGAAAAGCTCTCAAGAAACTAGTAATGCATGACTACATTAGAGAAAGCTAGGAGAACCATGCTGCTAGTTGTCGGAGGTGAAACTAATCAACATGATCAGAACAAGGGAAACTGGGAGGTTGATGCATGCTCTGGTAATTTGAATCAAAAATAATCTAAATTGAACTGACTGATCAAACCAAACTAAAAGTCAGATATCTTCATTATTTCTCCTCACTCCAGAAGGAAGACTTAGTCAGCTAATCATGCTCATATCTGTACTTTCAATTTGAGATATCCTGCATTCCATAGACCTATGCTATGATGCATGTCATAAGTATGAAAATATAAACTGACCAAATGAAATAAAGACAAACCTTTTATCACTATGCACAACGTCATCTCATATAATTGCAACTAATCATGTCAAAATTATATCCACAGAAACAGAATTCTCAATCAAGCAAATTTCTTGAGTAAAAAACCATGGCAATACCCACACAACGAAGATAAAATAGACAGTGAAAAGGCAAGGTCAAAAACTTGTAGCTTCATACTATATTACATGTCTTATACTTTCTGTTACTATTAAGACAAACTAAACATAATAATTCTATAATTTCTAACCTCTTCAGCGCATTTCAATAATTTTGTTGAATATGTTTTCCACACAATATGAACAGTGAATTATGGATATGGTAAAACTTCATCCAACCAAATAACTCTATTGCTGAGCACACTGAACAACTGCTTAATGTCATACTAGATATTATCTGCTTTCTGGAGACAGCTTGAACATTGAACTCATTCAAACTCTGATCACAACCAGTCTGCAACTTAGACTACTTATACGAAGCCCGAGTCCAGACAAGTATTGTCCATATAACAGCACTAAAATCTTCAGAAAATACTGATAGTAACTTCACTATTCACAACAGTAGACTCACATACTGCACAATCGAACCTTGTACACATTTTTTATGTGGACTGTTTTAGTGATTAAATTCACTTGACAGAACACCTGCCAGATGAACCATAGCTTAGATCCAGAACAAATGACATGCCATAACCAAACTGACATGGTGCATATAGCAACTGCTAATCCCTTGTTAACTTTGACATTGAAAACAGAATATCTAATGACATGCAACTATACACACAAATCAAGTAATAAGCATACTGTAAGCAGCGTGCTAAGGAGATCTGAGATGTGCAATATACAAGTACTGCTGACTGCAAGCCTCACTCTCCAATTACCTTCAGATTTAGGCTCCTCGCTAGACTCCACAATAGTTTTAGGAGGCTCTGTTTTAACATAGTCCGATGGCTCTGGGGTAGGGGGCGGGGTTGGCTCTAGTGTAGATGATGAGGGTGGGGATGCAGACGAGGGGTCGGAAATTGATGGGATAAGAACTGGGGCGAAGTCAGGTTCTGGGGCAGATTCTGTGGGCTGTTGGGAAGGCTCGTCTCCGAACGAGATCAATTGATCTGACATGAGTTGTTCAGCCTCCGACGCACCAGCAGCATATCGGTCCTCTTCTGCCTGTTCCTCACCAGGAATGGAGGTTGATGTCACTTCCTCGTCTTGGGCAAGATAGTCATCCATTTCGGCACCAGCTGCATCGTATTTGTCCACTCGCTCGAAATCATCGTTTGTAAAATTGTTGCTTTCTGGCTGACTATCCATTGGGTTTGGATCTGATAAATCTGCCATAATGCAAGAGTCTTTATCACAAGTTGGGTAGAATGTTCGCGAGACCTGTTGTGCAGAATGGCTCAAGTGGCTAATGTCTCACTATGCAGTCAGATCGTTCACTGCATTAACATGGCCGTCGTCTGACGTAATCAGCGCATGCGCCTCTTAAGCTGGTATTAGGATCACTGTACGCGTCCGACATAAATATTGCACGTATAAGAGACGGAGCCCAGCTGCGCAACAAGGCGCCATGACCGTTTATCCATACTCATTGAATGTATCACAAGAAAGTGAATTTGGGCGCCTCGTCACCAAAAATACACGTGAACACCGGAATTGAAGATTATTTAGAACACGTTACTGATGATTTCCTGTATTGGTTGTTTGTTTCTTTGAAAATAGAAATAAAACAATAACTATTACTGTTTAATCTTTATCCACGCGTACAAAGGGGAAAAAAGAAAGAAATGAATCATATGTTTATCAGTCATAGTTTAAAAATAGAATGCAAAATACATTATTCATTATCAGGAATATTTTCAACTTAGATATCATTAGGGCCCAGTTATATACTATTTAAGAAGGGGTGAGGGACGGACCGGGTTGCAATAACATATCAGGACGAGAGAGAGGATCTTTTAACAAAACAATATAAATACTGACAGACATCAGGGTCGAAAATAGAAGGTGGGATGAGCACTACCCAAATTACGATTTGAGAAGGAAACGCCATGATACATGGACTGACACCTGTTGACAAACGAGGTGTCAGAAGAAAGTGTTTGCGGGGATGGTTATAAGAAAATGATTCATAATTTGGGTGAGGTGAAGTACTTTAAAGGAAGACTACGCTCCATGGCTAAGTCTAGATGTTGTAATAAAGCCTTGTAAGCGACATAGTCGTGTGTAATCAAGGTACCTATTATTTGTTGGAAAATAATAATTCTCGCTACCAACCAGTTCTCTCTGCAGTGCTACAGCTCCAAATGAAGCAAGTCTAAGCTTTCTATGTCCTTCACATGGGGATCCTTTTCTTTTAAAAGGATTTCCTTGCTTCTGTGAAAAAAAGAAACCTTAATTTTAAAATTCACAAAAAGTTAGCCAATGTTGATCTTTGAGCACTTTATTTCCCCACTAATAGTTTTAACTCCAGGTTTATTGTACAAAGCGTTATACAGAAATTATTTGATATTTATAGACAGGAGTGGAAGGAATCGGTAGGGAATACCTGTGGTCCATATAAACAGGGGACAAATAAGCTACGCTTTTATAGTACTTTTAAGGATGTTTATACCCCAGAATTTTACGTAACTCATCCCATGCCCCGCCCATACAGAAGTGCATATGCTAAGTTCAGATGCGGCACTGCACCAATTAATATTGAGCTGGGTAGATATAACAATATCCCACTTAACGACAGAAAATGTTTTTATTGTAAACACTGTGTTGAAGACGAAGTTCATGTTTTAATTAATTGTCCGGTTTATAGTGATGAACGTTTTAGTCTTTTAAATACTTGTGATAGCCTATGTCAGAATTTTAGTAATCTTACTGATATACAAAAAACTGCTTTTATCCTGTCCAATAGCAATATCTGTTTTATAGCTGCCAAAACCTGCCATGTTATTTTAAAAAGGAGAAAATCCGTATTATATAACTTTTAATTATTGTTACTCATAATACATGTACATGCAATTTTTTAAGAATCTTAGTCTCTCATAATTCCGTATGGAATGGCCCTTATGTAAATATATGTTTAATTAATTTGTATATATGTATAACAGGGGTGAGACTTTAATAAATAATCTGTCTGTCTGTCTGTGAAAAATAAAGTTTTTCCAGACACCAAGCGTTAATTAGGACTTACAATTACCCACACAGAACCCAACCCCTAGATTAAAGCTAAGTGTCTGATTATATATGATTTAAATTTTTCACAGAAACAAACGATGCCTTTTAAACTGAAAAGGAGCCCCAGTGAGAAGGGAGATTCTGTACCTGAGGAAATCTAGACTTGCTTTATTTACGGCTTTAGCATTGCTGAGCGGAAGGGAAAATAATGGGGTTCAGGGACTGTGACACAGACTACACAACCCCCAACCCCTTTCAATACGAAAACACGACACAGTGACACCGCGTTAATCCGGACCACATCTATCACTGCTGTAGGCAAAGTTTAGAGACCTTTATGAAAGTGAGGGACCTTTCATAATTTATGGGGAGTGATGATGATCTTAGGATGTGTGTGTGTGTGTGAGAGAGAGAGAGAGAGAGAGAGAGAGAGAAGGAGTTTTGTACACATGTATTAGGGGGGTCAGCAATTTTGTACAAATATTGTAACATTATGTTTAAATCCTATGGGAAGGGAGATCACTGATTTGTACATGACATTACTTTGAACATGAATTTTAATGGGGGGTGGGGTGTCATTCACATTGTACACGCTTCTCCATAAAAATCATCATCACTCCCCCCTAGCCATAAATTATGAACGGTCCCTTATCATGAATCCCATACCCGGAATGTGAACGTTCGGACTAACGGGGTTAAGTGTTCGCTGCGACAAGGAGCTAATCCTGTTGATTCTGGTTTTCACAAATATCGCTCGGACAAGGTATGTATATTTTTAATAGTTTGCCAATCAAAGACAAAACATGCAGGGATTTATCACGCCAGCGTAGCGTGCCGGCGACTTGGTATCAGGACCAGGTGTACACTGTGACCATCTCGTGTACTTCGACCTGTGTAATGTCTCCGCCGCGTCCTCTGTTATCTGCCACATGTATGTTGGGTCTCTCTCTAGCACTCCCCGTAGTAAGAAGTCATGACTTACAATCATATTGTTTGATTTGACGGGTTTCTTGGCTCCATATCAGATCGGAACCTGAACAGTCGACTGCTTGGGATGCTGATTGCGTGGCTCAAGTCCTACATCCCTACCCGGCGTCTGGTAAGGTCAGAGTGAAATGAACGTTCTGATACAGGTTCGCCTGTTCAGACCTTATACGCCAGCTTCATCGCCTCGACGATACTCACAGGGAGTATTTCGAGAGCGTGATAACTAAACCAACCTAACTTTCTTTTTAAAACGTATTACGAAGATTTAATTGGCGGTTCTAAATTATTAAGCTTTCCCTTTTGAAAGTACGTCTAGATCTGCATGACCCTTAATATCCATACATCAATGAAGTTCACTTGAACATCAAATGCACGAGGTAGATTTGGATATTATTTACATGAAGAAACCATGTAACATTTCGAACATGAACGAATGTGAGTATGATAAAAACACGAACGTAGCTCGCATTGGGAGGCATTAACTAAGCACAGCTTTACAAAACCGTTACATCACCGATATATCTAATAATGGTTACAGTACTTCAGGTACAAGTCGGAACATTTTATAAAGAACATGTCTTGAACTTGTTACCTGATCCAGTCGGAATCTTTCCGATCCATCTTAGAATATATCCGCATAGTCACAATTATATACAATCCTTTCAGACACATTACCTACATGGCACACATGGATATAACTGGGAGGACATATAACAGTTAGTTGAGGCAGATGTGGGTCGTGTAATAACCTGTTCGGGTCTTTGACCCCCTCGATCTGCACTGATAACACTTACTGACCCACGAGGGTGTGTTTACATTCCTTGGGTACTCCAGGTGCATGTATCTGAACAGAGGTCAGTGGGCCTGTGTAAAGGCTCTCTCTCTTTCATATTATAACAGTGGGGCGGCGGGGTAACCCAGTGGTTAAAGTGGACACGCTTTTTTGGAACAATGTGTGAAACCCATTTCTGGTGTTCCCTGTCGTGATATTGCTGGAATATTGCTAAAAGCGGCGTAAAACTAAAAGCACTCACTCACTCATAGTATGAGAATATTTCAGTAATTCCAATGATTTCAGTAAATATGTATAATTTTGTTTCTTAAATTTCATGAATTATGTATAATTACTGAAAATGTCACTAAATATACATAATTCCTGAGTGAATTAGGCATTATAAATAGATTACTGAAATTTTCAGTAATTATACATATTTACTGATTATACATATTTCCTGTAACATATATACTGTGGGACAAAATATAGTATACACGTATGTTATATGGTGGCTTTAAATGAAACAAGAATTGTAATGCATGTCATGTTTGGGATTACACTTTCTCAGAGAACTGAGAAAGTGTAATCCCAAATATAACATGCTACATTTGACCACTTTCTAAATGGCATTGTGTGTTCATTCGAAGCAAGAAATGGTTATACGTTGATGCTGAATTTGATACGGTTACTTTATCATAACGTTTTGTCTGTTATACACACGCAGACACACGCACGCACGATATTACAGCTGCCTTGACAATCGGTACAACAGTTGCAGGTATAAATATTCGGTACAACAGTTGCAGGTATAAATATTCGGTACAACAGTTGCAGGTATAAATATTCGGTACAACAGTTGCAGGTATAAATATTCATCACGTTTGATTCTTTGTACAGAAAACAACGAAACTAGCCGAATGATCCACATTAATTCATTAAACCAAGAACTTTTTTTGACACAGGCCGTGTTTAACTGTATCTATATGCATGGTCCGTATTCTCAGAATTACGCTTTGGACAATGTCTTCTTCTACCACTTAGAGGAAGCCATCAAGCGGTACCCAAAGGCTGGAAGAGCTGAAGTAAGACGTGGTTTAAACATGTATATAATGTCTCTTGGAATTCCGTTCTGAGTACGACACGATTGTTATATCAGGGAGTCCACTTTTAGACGTGTATACATTATAGAAGACCTGGTTATGAATACCATTCAGCCGTATGTATAGTTTGTATGTGACTGATTGGGACTGCGTGAATCATGATGTCAATCACTAGATTGTCTGGTCCAGACTACACATGTATTTACAGACTGCCGTCATGCAGGTACTATATTGCTATGGTGACCGCGCGTTAAACAGCATAGACCCACGGTCGTATACCTTCGTATGTCTACTGCAGTAGAAACAAAATAGCCCTTAAAAGACGTCCTCCAAAATTGAAACAATACATTTCGGCTTTGATTAAACAGGGTTTGATGACTACCTTTGATATCAGTTACGAAAGTAGGGCATCAAATACTTTAGGACACAAAGAGCACAACAAGT